CGGTGATAGGATGAGTATTTGAATACTGCCTCTGCCCTCCAGAAGCTAATAGCACAACAGAGTAATAAGTTTGATAAGTCAAATCATCCTCTGGGCTACGGCATTAAGCAAGGTCATCTCTGTTGACAATCTCAGTGGGCACTCATGGCATCTGTACAAACTATTACTGCAATCCTAGCAGTGAAGGGGAAGGAAAAATGTTACAGGGTCTTCAGACTCTAGTAATAGAGAGCCAAATAAGCAAAAAAAGTAAAGCAAGAAACAAACCAAAAAAAAACAATGTTACCATTTCATTTCAGGGAAGTATTGCATGACAGATTCCCATGAGTTCTTCTGAGGAACACATTTGAGAAAGTGCAGAACTTTAAAGTAGAGTGAATTACCTTTTTTTTTATTCCAATCATTGCAGCTAATATTTTTTGCAAAACACAATAAAAATGAAACTCAAAATATCAGACATATAAAAGTCTAGTTTTTATTATTAGATAAAACAGAATAGCTTTGTAATAATTTATAAATGATTTCTAAATTTCAAAAATGTTGAGATGCTTATTTTCAATTCCACTCCGTCTCTAGTCACAACTGGTGACAAAATCTTGTGGATCTATACCTATGTGCAGAGCAGAGTATGAAGAGCAACGATGCTGTAAAATCTTCTGGACATAATTGCTAAAATGTATAGTAGAGAGATTATAGGGAGATTTATTATAGTGTTCCTTAAGGTAGGTCAAATGAATTATGCAAAATTAAATTTCAATAGCAAACATCCTATGAAGGACTAAATAATTGTCCAAAGGAACAACTCTTTAATGATGTCAGCTTAATCTGATAATAAACTTTAGAATATTTAAGAAAATTTTTCACTTACACATTACATCAGAAAATTGTCTAAAATATCATTTATCCTAAATTATTATTAATAAGGATTGAGGAGCAGGCAGGTAGTCTAAAGTTATATTTTCTCTACAGATCTTGTTTCAGATAGATCAATATGTATTTTCAGTCAGTCACAATTTTAACATTCTTTTGAAAATCAAGCTACATAGGTAGGCATATTCCTAAAGAGATAGCCACTTCACCCCTCCAAAGAATGTGGTAAGGACTTAAAAGAAGGAATGTAATTTCATTCTAAGGACACAGTGCAAGGTTGCCTTTAACAATTTGAAAATGATGATTGAAAACTGAAATTTTGTATTATTGAATTTTCAATATTTCAATTGATAATTTTTTATTGAAATTGTCCATTGCACTCAAACCACATACAAGAAAACTAAATCAAGCCTACAGACATTGTTCTTAAGTAATTTCACTTCCTGGTGAACCCTAAGATGAATTATTTGATACATTTTCTCCCAGATAACTTATAGATTTTATGTTTTATGCAGTTGCTGGAAAAAAGCCAATTACATATTGGATGACATCTGCCAAAATAAGTATTATCGTTTAAATATATTTGACACTGTGCCATCATGTCATTCTTTCTTCAGTTGATGAGGTTGCATAGCTAATTGTCTCTTGAGTCAACTTTTACAATGTAAAAATAAAACCTTATATTTAGTGCTGAATAAAATCCATATAATTTTTGACCCACTAGTAACAAGGGGCACTTGAGCTCATTCAAAACTGGGTGTAAATAATTAAGGTAAGCGTAGGTCATTAAAATGTGTAGAAATTATAAAGGTACAATGCATTATACTAAAAATATTAACTTACATTTTGAGACTATTAATTCTGACCTTTATTATTAAGACACAAGTCCTTTACTTATATAAAAATAATATAGGGATCATGTAGATTTATAAAACTTCCCTCATATTGATTTGTGCCCACAGAACTAAAGTCTGAACAATGAATGTTCATTTTGATACCCACAAAACAAGAGAAAGTATAGCTATGACCTATAAAGAAATAGCCATGTCCAGATCTTCCTGCTCTATGTGGATAATGGTAACTTCAAAAACCACATGTGCAACTTATCATGGATAAAATGGGCCTACATTTTAAGGCTAGTAAAATAATCATTGTCCACCTGGAAGTGAAGGCTGCAAGATTTCTATTTTCTAAAATGGGGTGGATGTCATTATGTGTCCAGTGAGGTGTTGTTAAAAGTAGGCAGTTAGTTAGACATGAGCAGGAGAAAGGTGCCAGCCCATCACCAAGGAAGACTCCTGCCTGGCCAGCCCCTAAGCCCTCCTAAGCTCCCAGTTCCACAGCCAAGGATGCCTACAGTATCAGGAGGCCCAGAGAGTCAAGGACACCTCAATTCTCAAGAGGCCCAGGACCACAGGGACTTCCCTGATTGTAGGGCAGGCAGACCTTGCCTGAAAGTAACCCCACTTCATTAAATAACATCTAAATCTAATTATCATTGTGATTTTTGGCCCCCCTGTGGGACTTGCTTATTTATTTAAGTGCCTGTGCCCTGAGAAAAAGGTTATGTAACCTAGAGCTGTCAATCAGCCTGTCAATCAAAGGATATGAGACACAGGGCAGGACTTCCTGTATCTTAGGAAAAGCTAAAAGCCAACCTATCCTTACAAGCAGGGATTTTCTGGTTTCCAGTCAGCCCCTCTCCTGTCTGAAGCATGTACTTGTTGCTTTAACCCAATAAATTCCTTGGTGCTTTTTCTTGCTATCTTGTTTCTCGACTTAATTCCTTCCTTCAAGAAGACAAGAATCAGGGAAGCACAGCACATACTTGGCATACTAACGGTCACCTACAGAAAATTAAAGGACTCCACCTGTCATACAGACTTTCAGGTGGGCACAGTGTTGCATGAGTACTATTTTAGAGGGGGTGCTTTTGATGTATTCGCGTCTATTCATTTAGTTCACTGATTAATTCTTTGTAACATACATGAAAACCGAAGGCACCTGAGTCTCCCTTAAATCTTAAAGCTGAAAGTGTTTCTCATGCTTTATCAGTCCCTGTGCTCTAATATTTTACATATTCCCTTTACATTTAGTTAGATCAGCAACTTTTTGGCCTTGGGAAGGAGTTGGTGACCCAGGGTAGCCCTAGTCTCTCTCTGGGCATATAACTTCTATATTTTTAAAGTCATCACCTGAGACTTGACTTAGTTTAGAGTAGGCTTAACAGAAAGCAGATGTGGGAGCTATAATTGAGACCTCATTCCCAGGGAGCAGGAGAAAAGGATAGATGGAGGCAGGAAAAACCTGGAATGTATCATCATCAAGCTGGTCATTACTAAGCACAACTGAGTTTTGGTTCCACAGCGCATTCCCAGGAAACCTATTCACTACAGGCATCTTAAAGTCTGACGTGGTGGTGAGAAAAAAAGAATTTCTCTCACCAGTTGATGCACTGTCATCTACTGATCAAATACTTTCCCCATGGGAACTCCTGTTACAATGCACACATCTTGAAGGAGAGCTGCTATTAGCAGCACCGAGAGAAGCCCCTGCTGGAACAGGTTCCTAGGGCAGCAGCGGGTACAAGAGACAGGTCACAGGAAGACAAGTTCACGAGGGCATGAGAGCCCTTTGATGCAATAGCTGGCCAGTTGTTAAATGTTTAACTAGTAATAAAAATGTTAAAAAGTTGCTGCTAAGTCATTTCACATTGTAAATAGGCTTTTTTGTTTTAATTATGCTGCCGTTTTCTGTAAGGCTAAACCTTATTACATTGCAAAGGAAGAACTAAGACTATCATTTCACATGTAATATTTTATAAGTGAAAAAAAATCCCAAAGAATCTACAAATAGATTCTGGAACTAACAAGTTCCTGGAATTAATAAGTGAGCATAGCTTGGTCAACGGGTAAAGGTTTAATATACAAAAGTCAACTGCTTTCCTATATGCCAGCAACTGGAATTTGAAATTGAAAGAAAATAAAACCACAGCATTGAAGAAAGAAAGAAAAGGCAAAGGAAACAAAGGCCTAGGCCGTCATTAATTTTAATAAACATAACATACAAATGTTAGATGTTAATAATAAGGACAATTTTGTGCGGGGTGTATGTGAACTCAATATCTTTCCAAGTTTTCTAAAAATCTAAAACTTTGAAAATTAAAAAAAGTATATTTAAGTGGCTTTGAGAAGTATTTTTTAAATAATGCTAGAAAATATGTCCTTTGTGTAAAGCAGGCCAGGATGCTCCCATGGTAGGCCAGAACTTGTTGCTAGTTTTGTGGCATTTGACTGAAGTTAGGAAAACATTATAAGGTGGTTGATCCCTCACCTCTGAAAGAACATGATTAGCTATAAAAACTGCATTATCTTTAATCCTCAGTCTTTTATCTTCTACCTTTAATATGTGAAGACATTTTACAGCCCCAGCAGTTCTATTACTATTCAGTCGACTTGATTAACAATCATTTTAGTTCAGAGACTCAAAATGTTATACTACATTTTTTAAAAATATGGTCAATTCTTAGTGGATAGATTGTCTGAGGGTTAGAAATCAGTAGGGCAAAGTCATAGGTTAGAAAAAAAATGAACTAAACTCATCCTACACAGATAAATGGCCATTATGTTCAGTCTGTTTTCTATATAGTCCAGCACATATTAAATATGATATGCATTTGTATTTTTATTTTTCTCAGGTAACATCTATCCTTTATTCTTTTCATAAGTTCTCTTACTTCCCTTGGTTTCATTATATTTTGTGCAAAGAAATATTAAATACTGACATTCCTTAATGTTCAACCTGAGTTTCTGAAGTCCCACTCCACTGTCTGAATTTGATTAATCACCCAGAAGGCCCACTCCTGCTGTGTGCCACTCAGATTGGCTTGAAAGGAAACGCTGCTCTTTCAGTTCAGAGGTGACCAACTGGACAAAACTAATCATTTCCTATCAAGTTTATTGTACATATATATTTTACTTCTATTTAAGTGTTCTTTAAGTTTCATATATAAATATTAATTTAGTATGCCACTTTTCTTTTACAAATATCATTATTTTAATACCTAGTACATATCATGATATAAGTTGTTGGAAATCCCCAGTCCTCCTAACCCTCACATTTTACCGGTGCTCAGCTCATCAACATTTCATCCAGTCAGTGCTGGTATTACTTTTTAAATTAATTTTAAGTACTGCATATTTGCTCACATATGGGCATCGTAACATTAGGTATATTGTGACTAAAGACCCCTTCACTTTTGCCTTAGAATGTCTTCACAGACATGTATAGAGTCCATTCACACAGGATGATAGAAATCCTCATTTTTCTTACTGATCTGCCTTTCCAGTTGGGTTTGGGAGAACCTGCGCCCCTCTGGTCTTCCTGCTCCCCGCCGACTCCTCCGACCTCCACTCCTCTCTGCTCCACGTGATGTTGGCTAAAAGAGTGGCCTTGCACAACGTCCCTGTGGGAAGAGCCATACAGTCTTCATGAGGATTAGCCCTGGGTATTCAGGAAGTTTAAACTTCAGGTCTCCTAGGCAAACAAACTTGTTTCTTTTTTGGTAAATCTAACTCCTGCTCCCATCAAATAATTTTGATATAGGTTAATGTTGAGCAGTCAACTATCTCACTAGGCATAAAGAAGAAAAGGACCAAGGTCTGCATTTATTCCCACTCATATAGTATATTCTGTTTACATATACAACACAATTTAAGCATTTAGAAATTCATTAAATGGTATCAGTTACTTCAAATTCTGTTATTGACCAGAACTAAAGCTCTCAAGAAAATTCTCAAGCATGTCATGGGGCTGTTCATGCAGACACGTCAGTATTACTTTCTGGTGCTCCATCTCAGTTGCTTGAGAAGAACTGAATGGTTCTACCAGTGGGTTTACACAGTATATAAACTCAGCCATATGGTTGCTGATTCACTTCTGGCCCCATGATTTTCGACTGTACATCTGATTATTGGAATCTAGTTGAAATGAGAACACTGTCCACAAACAAATCAAGGAACGCTGGATTTTATTTTCAAACTCACTCAGTAGAATCTCATTTCAACGCTTTGCAAAGGTTTCACAAAATCTTTGACCCCTAATACGGTAGATGTGGGAGCCAGATTTTTGCCAGAAGTTTGTTGGATGAGCACATGTGGCTCAACATAATTGCTCTTATTTCTCACAGCTTTGAATTACCTTTACATAGTCAATTCACTTTTAAAGTCAAATGATATCTCAGGCTCAAATAAACAATTTTATAGAATATTACAAATTGAATAGGAAAAGATGTGACCAACCAAAGAGTGACAGACATTCACAAATTATGTGAAATCACAGATATATTTGTTAGGGGATCTAACATCTATGATATGTGTAAACCACTAGATATTTTTTTAAATTGATCAAGAAAAAAAGAGCCTTTTGTAATAGCTTAGAGCTCTTTTCTGTCAGCTGCTCCAAGTGATAACAAGTGGCACAGCTCATTATGATGCCCAGAGAAGACTGTTTTGAGAAATGGGAAGTGATATGATGGAATGGAATAAAATGTATTGCACTCAATTTTCATTTCATAGCCATTATCTAAGCTGGGTAGCAGAGGTTTTAAAAGGTGGAGAGGGGCAGTCCTGCCTGTGACAGATAGATCTAAGGTTTAAAAACATATTGTGCTTCTAAAGCCAGCAGCCAGGAAGACCAATGCCCACGCTTCCCGCGTAGATTACTTGCCATTAACCTCTTATGTTGAATGCCGTTTAACCAGTGTTTCAAGCAAATTTTGAAAGTTTCTACTGGACAAAAGAAATAACTGTGAAACTCCGATGTAATTATTAAGTTTATGATCAAAAATGATATATTGATTTTCCACACAAATATCTCTGGGTGAGTCTCAAGTCCATGTAGTCATCTTGTGATGCAGTCGATGTATACGATCCTTGTCAACAGTCTCTGATTGTGGGCCAGGAGAAAGGAGTCTATTTCTCAGTATTGCCAGAGGCATTGTCACAGTTTACTTTAATAAGTCCACATATTTAAGAGCTTTGTAAAATTGTGTTGCAGTCTGCAAAGGGCCTGCTAGAATTAATAATTTAAGAGCTAAGCCTGGAAGCATTCACCAACCTTAAAATCACCACCACAACTACCATTACACACACACACACACACACACACACACACACAGCTCTTTTCCTATTTACTGAAAAGGCAGGAATTTAAAGTATTTCATATTTAAATTTATTAAGCCATTGAAAAGTAAAAATTCCTGCCATTTGCAGTAGCATGGATGAACCTAGAGGTTATTATGCTAAGTGAAATAACTACGCAGAGAAAGACAAATACCATATGATTTCACTTACACATGAAACTTAGAAACAAAACAAAACATAATGAACAAAACAGCAGTAAACTCATAGACACTGAGAAGTGACTGGTGGGATTGGGTGGTGGGTGAAATAGGTGAAGTGGATAAAGAGGCACAAAATCTTAATGATAATATAAATTAGGGTGATGAAAGTACAGCATAGAGAATATAGTCAATAGTTCTGTAACTTCTTTCTGTGTTGACACATAGTAACTATACTAGTTGAGGCAGTAATTTAATAATGTAGATAACTATTGAATCACTATGCTGTATATTTGAACTATATAATATTGTATACCAATTATACTTCACTATGCTGTATATTTGAACTATATAATATTGTATAACAATTATACTTCAATAAGAAAAGTCCAAAAATAACAAAATGAAGTGTTTCTATTTTTTAACAACCAATGCTCCTTCTTGTATTTCTGCATTGATAGCAAAAGATGTCTTGCCTCATCTGAAAAATAAAGACACTGACTCAGGAACAAAGCTCCAGTTGAACCAGTGGCTCATTTCTGCAGGGCTGACCCCCATCTTCTCCACAAGGGCTCCTTCTCAGCTTAGGGCTACAGCTGAGATGGGTAATTTCCTCACAAGTCAGAGATACAAATAAGATAACAGTGATTGAAATGTTATTTAAGGACATCAGAACAATTATAATATTGCCATTCCAAAGCAAACACAAGGTAATTGATGAACCTATTTTCTTTAAAAAATCTCATTCAATCTTGTAAGTAAAACAATCTTCTTCTACTACTAAATAGTACAAAAAGTGAGTATTCCTTAACATACTATCTTATGCTATCTGTATTTGACTTGAGGAAGAAGGTGTAGAAGAAAGCAGTGGAAAAAAACTCAGGTTATTCTCTTTATATATCAAATATTTATGAGCATCTTCCATGTCTCAAATACTTGGGGGAAAACCATGGAAAATAAGACATGACCTTCTTCATGGGATTGTTACCACCTGTAGGGGATGGCAGAAATAAAAAATTTAATTAAAATGTGACAGGGAGCAGCTTCTGGGTTAATCCCTTTGGGTGACATACGCAGGGTGGCCCTCGGGTTGGCCTAGGGCCCTGGTGAGAGTTGCAGGCCAGCAGCACGTGTTCTGCCGCAAGAGCAAAGCCCCTTTGTGCCGCCGGGTCTCCAAGCCCCTCTCCGCTGTCTGTGCCGGTCGACTGCATGCAAGGAGCAGACTCTGGATTAATCCCGTGAGCTGCCATGGGCAGGGCAGCCCTCGGGATGGCCTAGGGCACCAGTGTGGGTCGCAGGCAAGCAGCGTGTGTTTTGGTGTGAGGACGGAGCCCGTCTTGCTTCCTGGACTCTGCGCCCATCTCTGCTGTCTGTGCCAGTCAGCCACGCACAGGGAGCAGCCTCTGGGTTAATCCCCTAAACTGCCCTGGGCGGGGTGGCCCTTGTGATGGCCTAGGGTACTGGCATTTCACTTATTTGTAGAATATAAAAACAAAGCAAAACAGAATGAACAAAATAGCAGTCAACTCATAGTCACTGAGAAGGGACTGGTGGTTACCATAGGGAACAGTTGGGCTGCATGAGTGGAGAGGGTGAGGGGGATAAAGGGGCCCAAAATTTCTCCATCATAAATTGGTCATAAGGATAGTTGTACATCATGGAGAATATGTCAATGATTCTGTAATATTTTTCTGTGTTGACAGATAATAACCACACTAGTGAGGGATCAGGATCTAATAATATGGGTAACTGTTGAACCATTGTGTTGTATACTTGAAACCAATATAAGACTGTATATCAACTATACTTTAATTAAATAAACACATAAAAAAGAATTTTACAAATACCTTTACTATTGGGTCTGTATTCTCGTTATGCCTGTTTAAAAACTGGTGAAATTCATTTCTCTTAAGTAGAAACTTATGGGTTAAGTTTTATAATCCAACTTTTTGAATGTGAAACCATATATTCTCTCCAGCATGCTATTTTGCTATCTCCAGCCATAAGGGTCTACATAACATCAGTGATTTATATAAGTGGTTGTTTTAACAAATAACAAAGGCTGAAGTTTAAACAAAAGCAGAGAAAATCCTGATTGAACAACATATCCCAGTTTTCATGTTTCTCTCCACATTTTGAATTCAGCCAGTCGGTTCTTTTCAGCTGCCTTTCAGAGACACATAGCAGGAAGCAAAACCACAGCATCAGTGCTCTGAGAAATAGCTTGACACACTGCTTAAAAAGAATCCCAGCTGCGTTGTTTCATAAGTCGTATGTTTGAAAGCTTCTGCTGATTTTCCTACATGTGGGGAATGGTTTTGCCTTATTTGCCATTCCAGCTTGCGTGATTTCAAACATTCTGCTCAAAGAAAATTTTAAGCACCAAGTCCTTTCAGAAATCCAGCAAGCCTGCTCTGCACAGAAAAGGCTGTCACACCAGCAAACATTCTCCTCGGACAAGTTTGCCTTTCATGATAGAATGTGCTCAGCTCTTTTGTTCTTTCCTGTTTCTGGCTACTTACCATTGCTCCGGGGTCTCTGAGGCATATTCCAGGGACTGATGGGGGCTGCTCCCCGGGCATGACTGCGTGACAGCACCCTTCCTTCCCGGCTTGGCGACTACCTGACAGTGGCGTATGGCAGGGGCAGACCTTCACCACTGCAAGAGAAAGAAAGACTCGTGACTGTGCATCCCACAAGACTGTTTTTCTACCAGGTTTTCTCACTTTCTCTCTATTGCTTTAAGCTCACCATATGCATTATTTCTCACCAGATTTAGTAGGAGAATGCATTTCATATTAGATTTTATTTTTCCAAGAAATCATTAGTGTTTATTTGTCATCTCATAATACATTATGTGGCCTCATAGTATATGTACATTATATAATCCCAATGTATAATTATATATAGAATCAATAGTAGGAAAACTATACAGTTTGAATTAGAAAACTAGTGTTGAAGGAAATAATGTGTGACGGTAAAAATTCAAACTCAGTTATATCCTTAGATTATTCATAGTTAAAAATGACTATCATTTGGAAATTCTGAAAAGTATATGATTACACACTTATCCAAAATTATTCTTAAAATTTATTTATTTCAACAAATAGAGTATGTGATATGTTAAAATATATATTGACACCTATTTAACTATATTAAATTATAATTTTGAAGGCTAATATGAGAAGATAAGAAACAACTATAAAATCTAGAAGACTGCTTCTTAATGTACTTTACCTCCCATGTACACTGCATGGACTTTTGTGATAAAGTAAAGTTTAAATTTGGATCTAGCCCTACAACCACTAATCTAGACTTTCCCTTCTTTTCCCAATGCCAAATTTAAATTGAAGAAATATTTGCTGTCTACCAAATTTATACCTCAGTCCCAGACCTCTTGCTGACCTGCTGCCCTCTGTATCTAAGGATGTAAACCTGATCCCCCACTGGGATGTCTGTTTGATGTCTGCTCATTCTCAGAGCATGGAAGAGCTGTGGTCTCAGCAGAACCCTCCCCCAACTCTGGCAGCCCTCCCCAGGTTTATGCATGATTCTTTCACTCTTTTTAATTGTTCAGGTTCCCACCCTTGAAGTCATTCTTGACTCATCACTTTCTCTTATCCTCCAAATTCAAATGTGGTCACTACTTTCATCAAAATACATCCAGAATCTGACAATATCTTGCTGCTCCCCCTGGTTTATAGCCCTGGTCCCTCGTGAAATCATGACCACCTCACCTGGATTACTGCTTTAATCTCCTAACTGGTCTCCACTCCCGTTTCCCCTGCCCACCACACACAGCTGCCAGTGTGGTCCTTTTAAAACCTAAATAAACAGCACGCCACTCCTTTCTCAAAACCCTGCAACAGCTTTCCATTTAACACAGAGCAGGTGCTAAATTACTTAACCATGGTTTAAGACTCCACTTGGCACTGGGACCCCCACCACCTCTTTGCCATGCTGCGTTACGCTCCCTGCCCCTCAGTTCTCCCTGGCCACATCTCCTCTCACTGTTCTGGAAAGAGCAGGGCACACTTTTGCCTAAGGCTTTTGCACTGGAGGTCAATCCACTGTGAATGCTCCTGCCCAGTTACCATCATGACTTCTTCCTTCAGCTTCCCCAAGCTGATGCTCAGATGTCATCTTCTCTAAAAGGCCTACTACAACCACTTTATTAAAAATTCCAGTTTGAACTTTTCATTCCTCTTCCATGCTCTGCACTATTATTTTTGAATTCCAGAGCTTTTGCCTCTTTCACTTATGGTACATAGTTATATTTGCTTATTTATTCTGTGTATTGATTTATTTTATGCTTACTGTCCTTCCCTACTAGAAAGTAAAACACAAGAGCAGAGATCTCATCTTGAGTCACAGCCCCCATAGAGGTACCTGTACATAGCAGTGCTCCATCTATAATTCCTTAATGAACATATTTACTTTTCCATAGTGGTGTTAAGCAATGATGATAAAAAAATAAATTAAGCAAATGATACACATTCATTCTTGTGAATAGTATTCTGGTAAAAAATGCTCCTGGTTTCCAGTCCCATTCATACTCTGAATGAGCTTTTCTCAAGAGCAAACTTTTTCCTAAGAGCAAACAGGCATTGAGTGCCAAATTTTGTGGCCCCATTATTTGTAAATGTTTGAGCAATTCACATTTCTGAAAGCAAGTTCTTCTGAAGAAAAAGTGAGGGAATGGCTGATATACTGTACTTGGAAGAATTCTTCATAATGAAGATCATTTGTGATCCACCCGCAGACAGAGGGTCTTTATGAGAGCTTTGGGATCCATGTAGGGGACTGTGAAACCCCTGAGCAGTCCAAGACCAAAGAGCACCATGTTGATAGGCAGGCTCACATCCAGGTGGCAGACTCACAAACCCTGGCCCTCGTTACAGACCTAGAAACCGATCCATTCCTCTGAGGCACTGAGTACATTCCTGTTTGGTGACATTCTGTCACCAGCTCCATATGCCAGGAGACCGTGAGGAGCCATGCCCAACCATGCATCAGGTAACAGGCCTGCAGACCTGTGTCTTGGCTCTGTACTCTGACATGGCCTGTGAACCAGGTCCAGACACCCTCAGCTACAGTCCAGAATCCCCTGGTGGTGAGTCAGCCAAACTCAGCCCAGTGGACTGGACCTCTAACTGGGCTCCACACCATCCCAGCTGCAGTCTCTGAACAGTCCTGCTGGAACTGGGAACCAGAGGTTGACACTCCAGCCTGTTCCTAGATATCCTGTAGTCACCTCTGGCCTCTCCCAGCCACATCCATGTGCAATACTCCTGGCCAGGGACAGGGAGGGACACTACCATCTTCAACCCTAGAGATCCTGAAAGGGCCCTGTACACAGCTCCAGCCCCCCAGTCACTGTCAGGGACCAGGCCAGTCCCCCCAGGGACTTGGTGAGAGGCAGGTCCATCAATGCCTCCAGAGCCAGGGCTGCTTCAGTCTTGGATGTGGAATCTGCAACAGCCCTGGGAGCACTTCTAATACTCTCAGCTATGATCCAGCCCTCTTACAGACCTGGCGAGAGTCATACTGCCATGAAACAGGTAATAGGCCCACTGCCTGAGGGCCCAAATGTGGACCCTAAAGTGGAAGCTTGTCCCAGCCCCACCCTACTGAGCAAGATGCTACAGGCAGTCCCACCCAATGAGGACCAGACATGATTCATGCCCACCGTAGCCCCACTGCAGACCCAGTGATGGCCTTATAACCAGCTCCAACCCAGCATGACTGCAACCCCAGAAGTAACCCCAACAGCCTGAGGAACAGACAGAAATGTCTTCACTTGCTGAAACCAGTCTAAAGACTGCAAGTAGTGTTTGCTCTCAGCTGCATAGACTACAGTACAAGGCTGTGTAGATCACAAAGAATCAGGCAAATATGACACCATCAAAGGGAACTAATAACACTCCATTAACAGACCCCAAAGGAATGGAGATCTATGATTTTTCTTGATGAAGAATTCAAAATAATCATCTTAAAAAACTCAATGAAATGAAAGAGAACACATATAGACAACCAAATGAAATTGTGTGAACAGTGCATAAACAAATGAGAGGTTTAATAAAGAAACAGGAACCATGAAAAAGAGCCAAACAGAAATAATGGGACTGAAGAATACAACCAGAGAACCAAAAATTTCAGTTGAGAGCTCCAACAAGAGACTTAATCATGCAGGAGAAAGAATCAGTGAACTTTAAGGTGAATCCTTTGATATTAGCCAGTTTGAGAAACAAACAAACAAAAAGAATGAGAAAGAGTGAAGAAAGCCAACATGATTATGGGAGACAAACAGAAGAAGGAATATTCACATAATGTGACTACCGGAAAGAGAAGAGAGAAAGGCGCAGAAAGTTTATTTTAAAAAATAATAGCTGAAACTTCCCAAATCTTGGGAGAGATATGGATATCCAGATCAACCCAAGGAGATTACCCTGAGATATATTATAATCAAAGCATTAAATGTCTAAGTCAAGGAGATAATTCTGAAAGCAGCAAGAGCAAAATGACTAACACAAGAGGAAATCTTCAAAAGGGTGTCTATGGATCCCTTGGTGGAAACCCTGAAGACCAAGAGATAGTGGGATGAAATATTCAAAGTGATGAAAGAGAAAAAGAAAAACTGTCAACTGAGAATGTTATATACCTGGCAAATTCCTTCAGAAATGAAGAAGAAATAAAGACATTACCAGACAAAGTGAAGGGAGTTCATCACTAGGCCTTCCTTACAAGACATGCAAAAGGGAGTTTTCAAGTTGAAATGAAAAGATGCTAAGTAACAACATGAAAACAAATAAAAATATAAAACTCATTGGTAAAGTAAATATATATCAAATTCAGAATATCCTAATACTATAATGGTGATATGTAAGTTGGTTTTATCTCCAGTGTAAAAGTTAAAAACTAAATAGCATTAACAATAATTATATCTACTATAATTTTTTAATGGATGCATAGTGCAAAAGTGCCAAAAATGCAAAGTATGATGTTGATAGCATAAAATGTTGAATAAGATAAGTAGAAGTACAGATTTTTTGTGTGTGATTGGAGATAAGTTGTTTTCAGTATAACATAGATTGTGTGTCAGTAGGATGTCTTCTGTAGGTCTCATGGTAACCACACAGACAAAAAAGAACATATAGTAGTTACATAAAGATAAAGAGATTAAAGCATACTACAAAAAAATAAATTACAAATGAAAGTAATGAGAGAGGAATAAAGTAACAAAATAAGTTTTAAAAACTGTCATAAAACACTTAATGAAACAGCAGTAGTATTTATCTATCATTAATTATTTTAAATATAAACAGACTAATTCCTTAGTCAAAAGATGAAAAAGGCTTAATCAATTAGAAAAACAGATAAAAATTATGCTGCCTATACAACACTCATTTCAGCTTTAATAAACATTTGTCAAAATCTATCAGAAGAGACAAAGAAAGAAACCATGGAGTGACAGAAGAGTCAATTCATCAAGAAGATGGAACAATTATGAATATATATGAATTTCACATTGGGATACCTAAATATTTAAAGTAAATACTAACAAATTAAGGGAGAATTAAACAGAAATTCAATTATAATAGAGTACTTCAATTTCCCAATTCCAACATTGGATAGAATATCCATTCAGAAAATCAATAA